GCTAGGGTACTGCAGACACGTGACTCTTGACGTGTTTTGGCTCAAGGGAGAAAAGGCGTTCCGAAACGTCGAAACTCTGTTTTCAGTTTTGCCTTTTCATTGTCAGAAACGGCAAGTTCAAATTCAATCTTCACTGTGAAACGATGTTTTCTAATGGCACATACTTGCAGACTCGCTCTACATGGCTGCAATATCTTTCCAAGAGAACGGGTCCAGGGATACAGTGAACGTTGCCACCACTCCTGGGCACAGCTGCCGGCCCAGAGAACGCTGCAGTGAACGCCCGGCCCAGGCTGCAAAGTGGTATGCGGCACTCTGGTGACAAGCAGGACTGCTACAGGCTGACTCAACGAGAACTAGTTCTATATATATATATATGTATATAATTTAATACAGTATAATATATAATCACGAGAACTACAATAATACAACTGCCTGCCTCGGCCTCCAGCCACAGTTTTGGCAAAATGAGCCGTAGATCTCCTCGTTCAACAGACAAATCCTTCAGACAAACCCTGGGCTTCAGACACCGTGCCATGGAGCAAGGTGACATGGGTGGCTTTTTCAACGTGACAGTGGCAGGAGTGGCTGCAACGCTTGGAGGTTCAACTTGAAACCGCTAGGCCACCGTGCTCGGCCGTGGGGTCGGCCGTGGGGTCGGCCGCGTGGAGCTCGACGCGTGGAGCTACGGGGTCGGGTCGTGTCGGGTGGGGCCGACCGGTGGCAGGTCACGGAAGAGTTCGGCCGGATGTTTTGAATGGGAGCAATCCTTAGCACCAGAAGCTGGCGAGCAACGCCCAAGGACACATTTGATGAGACCAGAGCACCTACAAAATTGTCATCAAAGTGTAGACACACTTCACTGCTTGCCATTTCGAGCAATAGTTGGGCTTCTTTCTGAGGTTGATGGGCCTTTGGTGACTGCAATGACAGAGGGCTGCTGGGTTCTTCTTTCACATGCAGAGCAGGCCAAACCAACTGGCTTCACCAGCTCAACCTGTTGTTCCCCCGTTTTGCTTCGGACGGAGGTGTTTGCAGTGTCTTCCAAACGCTCCATCCAGTTCAGACCAGACCTGTCTACTGCTTCGGTTGATTGCTAGGCGGCTCCAGCGGTCTTAGATCGCTTGAATTCATTGCTGGAGCCCAATGGATTTCTCCTGTGAAGCTCTCAGCTCACATAGATTGGACATTAGGGAAAGAAATGAGGGTGGGCAGAAAAAGGGAACTTGGTGTGATGGGAGCGGATACCACGCTAAAACTCATCTAGTAGGAACAAGGTTCGCTACTAGGAACAAGTGCATCGCTACTAGTAACAAGTGCCTTACTAGTAGTAACAAGAACGCTACTAGGAGCAAGGACGCTACTAGTTTTTTTTATTCTAGAATCGCTAAAAAGACGGTGTCAGGCTCACAGAGTCCGGAGAAGAGCGCCTTGTGTGGTCGTGAGCTCGGAGCTCGCTGGGCCGCTGCCGCTTCAGTGAGAACGTACCAATGTTTTTTGAGTACATCATGTACGCGTGTTTTTGTTTTTTTTGCTGCCTTGTCAAGAGTTCTTTCTATTTTCCTTTCTGCGAATCCAGTTTGAGCAAGCAGTTTGCTTCAGGCCACATCCAGACTTTCGGGTCTTTTTCACCATGACTCATGGTGGAGCGTCGTCAACGGCAGATGCCCCAAACAGGAGTTTTCGTCACCACGCTGAGCCGAGCGCTTCTACGTGCCGCGTTTTGACACCGGCACGTGTCTAGCAACCGAGGTTTCGCGGGCTTTGCGCAATCGCTGCCTTGAGATCTTTATGGAGGGCAAGTTGGGTGGCGTAGGCCAGCATTTGATCAAAGATGTCTTGAAAGCATCCACTCTTCGTTGAGCCCCAAAAATCTGGCCTCAACTTGCAACTTGGCAACTGATGCTTTTCTTTTCCTGTAGGTTTGGATGTCCCACCCGAGAAGACTTTGGAGGCCAGCTTTCCCAGCTGCATGGCAGACAGTTTGTACACCGCCTGTGGCTGTGTAATGTTGAAAATTGTCTCAAACCGCTGAACGTATATAATGTGAATGTAATGTGTATAGTGCAGCGCATCATGTGGACTTGTATTGAAGTGCTTTGGAAGCATCTGGAATGTCTCAACCTTTTCTTTGCGTCAAAGGGTGAGTTGGAAGAGATGCGCACAGTGACTCCAAAGCAGCAAAGTGCCAGGAGCCCGGACCCGATGAGCCCCATTGGTTCTGTCTCGAGGGAACCTACCCTCACTACCCTCAACCACGGGGACAGAAAACAATCTGCTCTGATCAACCCATCGTTTCAGCCAAAAGCTGGTGTCCGTTCCTGAACTCAGCGGGGGGCTCGAAAGCAGCTCCCGTTTCGGCACTGGTGGGTTTCGGCATATGCCATACCTCTTGCTGGCATTGCTCGCCTGGCTGACTGTTGCCGAAGAGGGACATTTACGCAGACCAAGTCCGGACTACCAACAATGTGGACTTTTGGGGCAAAGGACTGGGATGTGCTTTGCCCGGAAGAATGTCTTTCAACCGGATTCTTTTAAATATTTTTCGACTACATGTAGTAATCATGGCACCGTGGAGGTTGTTGATCGAAGCAAATACCTACAAAGATGCAAAGAGTGAATGATTAATGCAGTAGTGCTATCAAGTAAGGGACGCTGTTTCTATACAGGAGTCTTTGCAGGTTGCTGCTTGACAGTTGCGTTGATCATGCCATGTGCACGAAAGCAGTAGTTGGAACTGCTAAGTTTTCATACAGATAGTAATACAGTGTAATGTGTTCTGTGCGTTTGAACAATACATCTTGCACTCTTGTGAGTAAGGCTGCTTTTCAGTCAGTGAGTGACGAACAAGAGTGTCCCACAAGAGTGTCTCGCCAAGAGTGTCCCACAAGAATGTCCGACAAGAGTGTCCTACAAGAGTGTCCTACAACCATCCATGTTTGGACGATGTTGTTTTTGAGAACTTTGGACACAGGTTACGTGGTCATGTGTGCCTGCCGGTAGTTATATGGTCATGGTTACGCACCTGCAAGATGACCAGAGTTTCATGTACACACTAATTTAATGGCTATTCTGGTTTGCAAAGTTGCTGCTTTGGGTTCAAGATTCAAGATTCTGGTGGGAACCTCAAAACGCGTTTGCTGTTCCAGCAAAGAGCCGCACAGGAAGAAGGGACTTCCACGCATTGTGCATGGACGGGATGCCGGACAGTGCGTTTGGAGGTGGCAGGTCAGTCTGCGATCCAAGCACGATCCAAAAATTGCTGTCCCATTTTGTGGTGGAACGCTCATTGCGCCCGGATGGATCCTGACAGCAGCGCACTGCTTGACGAGAATGAACGTGTGTAAAATGAGGAGAATACGGGTGGTTGCGGGAGACTGGAAGCAATTTTCGAATGAGGAAGCTGCAAGTGGCATGTCTGTGGAACGGCGAGTTCGACAGATTTTCACCCATCCGTTGTATAGCAAGGAGGCATCCTCTGACTTTGATTTTGCGCTCTTGGCTTCTTGCCGACAACTGAGACACAGAACCAACACATGAGTGTGTGTTCAACTAGGAAGACCTCAACGACCCCTGAAAAAGAGGCAACGCTGCCAATAGATTTCAATGGCCGGGGTCTCCCTTTGTCCATGTCAGACCACATGTCAAACCAACAGAGGTTTATAGTTTTCCGGTGTCTGACCAGAGCCATAAGTAAGGAGTTGGACAAAGAGATGCCGATGAGCGACTGCATCGGTGTGGCCTGCTTGCCGACCAGCGCTGACAAGCCTGGCATGGAGTGCAATATCACTGGCTGGGGCACACTGATGCATTCCGGACGCTTTGCAGCGTATGTTGAAAGGAATTGTATGGAAGTGTCGCTTGAAACATTGCAGATGATGAGGGAAACCTGTTTTGACAACTATGCGTGTTTGATACAGCCTTTTCTCTATCAGTCTGAGCCCTGCAGGGTCCTGTGCTCAAACCTTGGCAAGAGAGGGCTACTTTTGCAACAGAAGTAGATGTCTTTGGTTTGAGCCTCCAGAAGACCTGTTGCGGATTGAGTTGTTTAGTTGAAAGACGGGCTGTTCGAAGGAAATGCAAACAACGTGGGTACACTACCACTACCTGAAGCATTTGTACCATTTTGTACCACTCTTGAAGAAGGCAAAACAGGAAGGGACCAACGACTGTCAATACGATGATCCCAAAATGAGGTTGAGATGAGAGGTGCTTCACATCAAGCTGCTTCCGACATGGTTTCAACCCCTCTAAACCTATTCGGATCGGCCGCCTGATCGCAATCGAGGGCCCACTCCAGAGGTGCTGCAGGAAGCATCCGTGGGAGTCTTAGATGTTCGAAGCGACGGATTCGAAGAATTGGGCGACGATTTGGCCCCGGCTGTTCACTCGAAGTGTTTTCTCCGGTGAAAAACCAGCGGCTTGCGGCAGTGAAATGGATGGCATAAAAACAGGGTTTGGTGTTGAGTTTTTTGAACAGTTCACAGTTGGGACTTTTTGTCATATTGTTTCTGGTGGAGCAGGAAGATGAAGGGACAGGTCACCACCTGAAATCACATGTTCTAGTCGTGCCTCTTGCGTTCTGGGACGATCGAGGTGCAATTGGTTGACAACAATGACTGTGAACGCTACTATGCCGAGTCCAATGAAACCATCACGGCTGCTATGGTTTGCGCCAACGGTATTTCTGAAGCAGGAATTACCGACACCTGTCAGGGTGATAGTGGCGGCCCTTTGATTTGTGAAGAATCGGGTCGTTTTGTGCTTCGGGGTGTTACATCCTGGGGAGATGGATGCGGATTAGCACACTTTCCGGGTGTTTATGCCCGTGTCACTTCCGCCCTTGATTGGATTCACAATGTCATGGAGGGCCTGATTCGTTCAGATCTAGACACCGATACAGCGGATTTTGGGGGAGCCATGTGGACAGTTCTTCAAGGCCCCTGCACAATGGACGATTCAGATTGCATTCTGAGTCCCAATTTCCCTGGAAACTATTCTGCCAAGCAAGCTTCTTGGATCGCATTGAAGCGGGACAGAAATGTGAAGATCATTCACAGCAAAACACAGGTGTTTTTTTGCAGGTTGGAGAGGGCAGAACTTTTCAACGTAATGCTGACAGTGCTGACCTTTGGCTTTGCACCCAATCACTTTTCAGGCTTGCATCATTGCGGTCAACGTAACAGCAGCAGTGGCAATCCAGGTGCAAAGCTTCTCCACAGAAGAAGCTTATGACTCGCTGCTTGTGAATTGCAAGACCTACTCTGGAAAAGAGGGGCCGCAGGGAATTACACCAGACACCAACATCTACTGGCTCTCAGATCATAGCATCAACGCCGCAGGTTGGAAGATATGCCCCTTGTATGACTAAGGACAATGTATTTTTTGGCGCCACAAGAGCGTGCCACCTGGATGTAGCATGTACACAAGCATTTCTTTTTGGATGTTGCGGAGCACGTGCCGCTTTACAGCCGAAGACTTGAAACTTTTTGGTCCTGTCCAAATGGGCAGGGCTGTGGCTGGGACTGAAGTCTAGTGTCCCGATGGATGCCACACTGAAAAAAAGAGTGACAAACTATGAGGAATGAACTTGAACAACAGCCAAGGTAGTTTGATGTACTCAAACAGAAGAACAGCCTGGGACCCCTACAGTTGTCAGTTGTGTTTTCCAGGTCCGTCGTGCATTTGCTTTTCTGAAAGAAGTTGTCCAGCAAGTTTCAGCAGAGTCAGCTGCTCAGCTTCGCCAGGTCAGTCTGAGTCTGATTGTTGATTTTGTCGATTTGGGTTACCTCAGTCGGTTTTTCTCAGGCTATGTGCAGATCAGAGTGAGCTCACTTGGGTGGCACACTCAGTCTGGAGGTCCCCACTCTGCCTTCTCGCTTTTGAAGCCGTCTAAGAGACCAGATTTGGATCTGACATGGGGAGAGCCCCCAACTAGTGAGATCTAGTTACTAGTTTGTTCTCCTTTCTTTGATTTCACTGGGAGGTGTCCTATTTCGCTTCGTGCTTTTTGGTTTGTCCTCTCTGAAAATGAACTTGAGGTTCAGAAGATGATCAGCCAGCAGGCGTTTTCCATGTTCGACACATGCTGCACAGCACTGGACGATTCAACGAAGCAGCAGAAGTGGTCCGCCTTGGAGGTTCATGAGATGATTCACAGCGCTTCGCGCTCGAAGCCGCCCGCACGGAGTGTGGGCGTTTGTCTGTCTCAGTCTGTCTGTCTCGGTGTGTCTGTCTCGGTCTGTCAGTCTGTCTGTCTCGGTCGGGCAGGAGACACGGACGAACACATCCACGATGCCAATAATTCAAAAAGCCCTCACAAGCACACCAGTTTCACAGCATGAGAGGGCCCCCCCAAGCTAAAGCTTATTAAGCGGAGTAATCCAGCAGCTATCTTGCGGCTTGTGCGAGCCTCCAAAGCGCCTCGGCGCCTTCGGTGTGGGCGGGCTTTGTTCTCCAAATTAGTTCATTCAACTGATGCACATGGTGGAAACTGCGGTTGCTAGCTGCTAACTGGCTGCGCTGCCAAGCAGATGGACTGTGTCGGGCTGAAGGAGACTTCCTAGGCAGTAGCAGATCAAACGCACTTCTGACTGTGCCTGCAAGTGGCAAAGCTGCAAGAAGATGTCCATGCAGCTCCATACGCCTGTCCAAGTACGACCGCCGGAACAGCTCCTGAATCGCAACCTGGTCAGACCCCTTCAAGCTTGAGAAACAAAGCTCTGGCTGAACATGAGACTGGTGGCATTTTGCAGTTGCATGAAAAAATGGAACGCCCCTACACACAGGTAGTTTTCCACTTCCATGTTTGTGACTAGCAGTTGCCTGCAGGTGTTGATTGATTGCTTTTCGACTGTTCCTTCGGGAGGTTTCACATGGGAGAATGCATCTCTTTGACTGTTGAACGCTGAACCGCTAACAGCACTGACAAAACCGGCTGAAAGTGCTTGCTTGAAGCAAAGTCAGAGTGCCTTGTTGGAGTTCAGCGACACTGCCTGCTTCTTTTTTACTGGGGTAGTAGCCAGCAACCCCATGCATTGCTTGGGGAACAACACCTCACAGTCCCTCATGTCCATCTGTGAATCCTTCTCTGAAAAGATTCGCTTTCGACGTTTGTGACCCTTTCGCAGGTCGAGGCTTTCATGCCTTCTGCGCCAGCAGTGGTGGACGCTGCCCGTGTGGGCCTAGCCAACGAGGCGGGAAAAGCAACGGGCGTCCTGGCCTTGCAACAGGTATCCTTGCGGCAATTTGAGTCTTGACACAGTTGATTCACGTTAATTCTAATTGTGGTCTAGCAGATTCTAGCATTCTTGGACCCAAATCATAGACATGAAGACTGCGTTTTGAACATGCAGGGTATGAAATGGAACAGCTGCCTCCCACGCTTCGCTCCGGGCCCCCCCCGTTCAGTCGGTGTTGAGACCATGATCCGTTTCGCGGTTGGGACCACCTTCGCGAAAAAGCGCCGTTCGTAGCGTCCTTGCTCCTGGTAGCGATGCCAGGAGCCCCTAATAGCTTCTTGTTCCTAGTAGTAAGGCCAGGAGCCCCTAGTAGCGTCCTTGCTCCTAGTAGCGATGCCCTTTGCTCCTAGTAGCGTCCAACTACTTAAATGCTGACAATCTAACATCAATTAGTGCTTCGTGCGATCGAGCACATGCTCGCCGCACTAGGAGTAAGATGAAGCCGCTATGTAGTGATAGTTGTGATTTGTGAACAACATGTTGCGAGCGAACCACTGATTAGAATAGGTTCAGGAACTTAAGCCTACATCTTGGCCAA